CAGAAGTCTAAAATTCTGTTGCACGCTGTACACGTGTGTGTGAGGGGTGTTTGTGTGCATACATGTAAGTGGCTGTGTTTCTCATGTGTTAATGGGATAAAATCTCAGGTGGTCAGACCTCTGATGATTCCAGTAAGACTGAAGCAGTTTCTACTTCTACTCTCTGCTTTCTGCAATTGGATTTATAATTGAAAACTTATCTATTGACTTTCAGGACTGTTTAGGGGTTTTATGTGTCTATACATGAGTATATGGACATAAATGGGAAACGCACATTTCATGAAAGAGCCCATGAGCAAAGAGCACCCCTGTTTTCATTATTGACTGCCTTTTCCCTTTTACAAGAGACTCAGAAATGCCAAGCCATTTCAACTGACAGCATCATAACAATAATTGTATTCTGAACTTTACAGTTGATGGGATTTCTTGATGAAATCCATTCATGGCGATGTTAAGGACAAGGCCATCTTTAACAGATGTATTGCTGGACACAACTCAGTAGGAATAAAAACTGGAATTGCTAGGTAATAAAACATACAACAAAATTACTGTCTTCATGGGGAATAGCACAGATAAATCATAAACTATTTTCTCCACATACTAAATGTAAGTTATGGCAAAGTTATTGCAGTTATTTTCATGACAAACATCAGTCATCTCTTTTGATTGATACGTAATTGCAGACCTGATGAGAGCACTAAGCATCTTCCTTTCAGGCTAAATGGAAGAAGAAATAAAACATCTGCTTATGAAAAGGTAGTGAGGGACAACTGGAGGCTACTGCTTAAGAAAATGGCTTTAATTTCAAAGACCACCCTAAACACCATGGGTTAAAGAAGCTGGGGATTTATTTCAGTGACTTAAATTAAAAAAATAAGATGGTAGGATTTATGCAGCCATGAGAGTGTTTGTGGGGAAAAACAGTGAGACTCTTTTCTTCCCAGGCTTCCTTTCCATGAGCATGGAATGAGCTGGAGGAAAACTGAACTAGTGAATAAAAATCTTCCTGTTCTGTTTTCTGTCTTGGCAGAGCAAAAGAGTTTTCAGTACACCATTTGTGAAAGTGTTTGTATTCTTGGAAAATTATTTGCATAATTTTAACTGTGGAGGAAATTCTGAATCCTATTAGTTAAGCACCCAAATATATTTAAAATATTTGTCCTTTTGCTTTGTGCTGACTTTTCCTCACTGTACTGACCAAAACCTAGAGACATGAGTAATGAGTTCAGGGTGCTATATCTTGGAAGGTGTCCAGGTAAGAGCTGATAGATTTATTTGAGCTGTCTTTAACACCTCAGTTTAAAGAGAAATTGCCTACAAAGAAACTTGGCTTTCCTAAGAAAATATTGTACCACAGAGACTTAAATGGGACAAGTGAGGTTGAAAAAAGAACAGGCAGTTAAAAAAAGACTACTTTTTATGTAGTTAAAGTTAATAATCTCTAACACATTCTTTGTTAAATAAAGCAATAATGTGTTTAAATGCTTTGGAAAAAGAGACTTGCCTGTGTGCTCTTACATAAAATTTTTTCCTCACAGAAAGCAATAGGATGCTCATGCCTGCAGTGAGATGCTGGGAAAGAGCATTCCCTGTGCATCTGGGGAGCCACCACTATCCCTGAGAACAGGTATTCATGTCATACTTGAGTGGCAGGTGCTGAGTATTTGGTCTCCTCATCCCAACTCTGAACTTGCTGAGAAATCTTGCCTGGGCTCTGCTTATTATCCAGAGGCTTTAAACATCTCAACACCTTTTAAAGGCAATGTGCTGCTTGAAAGACAAGAAAAGATGTGCAAATAAGAGTGTTCTGCAAAGGAAATGAGAATATTTAGGTTTCCAGACATGCTCTAAAGCATATTGCTTTTCCTCTAGCCTCAAGATACCAGGTGAATTTTGAGGGTCCAGTATTTGGCTGTACACTCAGGGGGTTTTGTAGGATTTCTGCATCAGTTTTTTTGTGTAGCTGGAGAATCTTCATTCCACCTAAGAAATCCTACCACCCATACAGCAAATAGAAATCTTTTGGCACTGACTGGTACTCCATAATACTGTATAAAGGCTCATGTGTAGTGTGTGAGGGTAACAATAGCAATACAGAGAGGGCAGAGAATGGGACAGCAATTTGTTTCACTGCCACTCACTAGCCAGCAGAGCCCAGCATGGAAATCCAAGGCATATTTGTGAGAGGAATGATGTTGAAATAAGAGTGATGACTTCAATAAGACCCTCAGTGTCCATGGGAGATGCAATGATGAAGTGTCCCGAAGATGACAGCGAGTAGAGGATAGTTGCACTTGCTCAGTCCAAATATGCCTGCTCTGAAATCCATCTTCTGTTTGTCAGTTTTTATGTGCTTGTCACACCAAGGACAAGATGACAGCTGCAATATATATATAAAATGTCTGCTGGAGAGACATGTTCCTTGTTAAATGCTTTGTAAGGCAAAATCCAGCCAGTGACTGGTATTCTGGACAGCACAGGTAACATCTCCCAGAGAACCACTGACTGTTTTGTTTACATTGGAAAGGATGAGAAGTGGGAGTCAAAGGAGCCAAATTACCCAAACAGGGAACTGAGATGAAGCAGAATGATTTGCACTCTAAATATGGGATTTTTTTTGTCTCACTTCCAGGACAATGCCAGGAGTGAAATATTGCATTTTCACCAAAAGAGGATAGTGGCAATATGCCACAGATTTCATTAGTTAAAATAAGATTGCTTCTGCTTTAGATATTCACTTACAGGCAGTAATGTGAGGGACAATTAGAATACCTCAGATCCTAAAAAGTCTGGTGATGTTATAACTAACAGTGTGAATATTGGTTGGTTTATCACCTCCCTGGTGATGGAGAGTTTCACCAAAATAAATCCTGAGTAACTATCAAGAACAAATACATATTTCAGGTGTATATCAGCTGTGATTTGTTGGGGATTTTTTTCTATTTCAGTTTTGTGTACTTAGATATTGCAGTTAGCCAGGAGAGTTGTTCTTAGCTTGTATGTAGCAATTAGTTTTCATTTTTATGAAGATGGCTCAAGCTGAGCTGATTGATAGACTGTTACTCTAAGAGCAACAAAATTACCCTTTCTGATGTATATTTTTTAGGAATAAATCTTAAAAGTCAAATACACATATGGCATGCTCTTTGTAAAAATCAAACACACATATTAACCATGTGTGAAATTACCTATGTTGAAATAGGGGGGAATTTCACTGGGTGCCTATAATTTATCAAAATATGAAAGCCAGATAAACTAACAAACAGAGGGTGTCAGTGCAGTGAGATGATCTTTATTTGTAAGCAGCATTTAGCACCATTTAATTCATGACTTTGGTTTCTGCTGACCATCTGTCATAGCTGCTGCCAGCTTCACAAGCCTCGTGAACTTTGCCAGTCCTGTGTCAGACTTCAAAAGATGCTGCACCCAGCCACCAGTATGACCTGGATCCAGAGACCATATTGTGGCAGCATGAAACAAAGAGTGGTTTTGGCAAGAACAAGAAGAGGCTGGCCCTGTGTTTCAGTTCTGCTCCTTCCAAAGTAGCAGGCATTTAATTGGATTAACTGAGCTGAGGTCACCATTGCTCGAAGAGGTAGCACCAGGTTCAGCATCAGATGCCCTCTTAGGATATTCTTACTCAAGATCATTTGAGAAATGGTGAGAACTAAACCTGTCTTTCTGTAATCTCCCTGTTGCAAGACTGTACTCCTCTTGTAAATGAGGTCCATAGTAAGACCAAGTAAATGCATTTGATGTTTTCAAATACCTTCTATGGCATAAAAGAAGTGAGAAGATTTTAAAGTATAAATTAAAAAATCTTTTAAGATACCTGGAAAGCAGTGAGCTGTATCAACAGGTTCATCAGTGCAGCCTGGCACAGCTGATGGCAACAAAACAGAAAAGACAAAAAAACAAAAGACATTTATCAAGCATTAATCCTTTTTAGATTCTCTTTAAGAAATATGTGGACATGTAGCCAGCATCAATTTCTTTCTTTGTATTCAGCTCACAAATGTATTTTTAAGGCCTGTGGATCTTGGCATGCCTCTTTGTCATGTTGATAAAGAGATTATTGCTGAAACTCCCATTTTTAATCTCCTATGAATATCCAGAAGCTCTGGAAAGAGTTTTGTTGACTTGTGTTCTTTCCACTGTTCTCACACTGGCTGAGGAGGAACTGTGCTCACCTCTGTGAAGGAGTATGTGCTAGTACACAATTTTATTACAGGGTGCAGAACACTGAGTTTCAAATACCTTTGAAAAAGGGATTTGCAAGTTTTCTTGCTTTCTTTAAAATTCATGCCCTAAAATTTCCAAGTGTTTTTCAGATTTGGCAACAAAAGGAAGTAAAAATGGACAAGAAACATCCCTTATATATGTGCAGATACAGATAACGCAATAACAATAGTGGTTCAGTAGCTATCATTTTTTACAAGACTGTAATAATCTGATTATCTTAGTCCTGTTATTTTGACATTTAGTATAAAATTATTGTGTATTCATTGTCTTGGTGGCCTGCTATTGACCTCTGATCAGCTTATTATCAAGAATAAAGCTGGAGTATATTTTCCAAACAACACTGGAATGTGCTATGCTTTTTATATCTCTTTAGTATCTTTTGTTGCTTTTGTGAACACAGAAAATGCTTTGCAAAATAAAAAAGACTCATGGGTTGAATAGGAGTTGGGAATGTATATTAGTCTGAGGAGGTGCATGAAGCTGGAAGTAGCTTTTGTTTTGATCTGTTTGAGGAGGCATATTCTGAAGACTGTTCTCTGTTCCCACTGGCAAATCTCCCAGGAGAGTTGTGGTAAGCTGGACACAATCAACCCTCAAAATCTGCTCCGTTAGCACAGGTGTCAGGCTGGACCAGCCGATGCAGCTCTGTTGTCTCTATCATGCCTAGAGGGTTGGCCCTACCTTCAAGCACGCCTTCTCCTGGGCTTCCCCACCTACACTGAATGCATGTGAATTACAGGTTGGTTCCTGCACTACAGGTGGACTTGTGGCAGCCCAGCAGCCCCATCCACATCGTCGAAGGCGCAGCCGCTGACGTGCGAGTCCCGCGGAACGCGACGCGGAGCCTGCTGCCCTTGCTCCAGCAAGCAAACATCCAGTACACGTAAGCCCACGCTCCACTTCCCATGCCTCACTCCTGAGAGCTGGCCTTGGGGCAGGTCTGCACCTACCATGCCAAGAGTGCTCGAAAATACCTTCCACATCCCAGCAATTAGGCTGGCAGACGGCATTGCCCAAAAAACAACCGCTTTAATGGCAGAGCAGCAAATCTCCCACAGGCAGCAGCTTTAATTAAATGTCCTCCTTTGGAGTCAAGCTGAAGTGTTTTCAATATATGTGAAATCACATCTGTTAAGAGAGGGTTGGTAATTACTAATTCTGCAGCCTGCTCTGCCTCTTTCTTTATTTAGCACAAGCAAGGTTTATTTACAAGTAAGCTGCAAATGCAGAGGCAAAACTTCTGCATCAATTATACAGGAATGACTTCTATTATTCTCCATTCCTAGTGACCAATGCAAGGCACACAGTACAAATGCAGTACATTTTGTTTCAGATATTATTTATAATGCTTCTTAAAAAAAATTCAAGGTAATTTTGGAGTATACTTATCCTTTCATATTTATCCATATGATGTACTGGACAGCAGTAATGATCTTGTTTTAAAGCCTTCTCAATGGCATGCCTAAGCATCTGAATAATCAGCTCATGAGTTCTCAAACATTTGCTGGATAAAGACTTACATGAGGTTATTTATACTTATTTCTCAGTGATAAAAGGATGGTGTAAATCATCATGTAGATGTATTTATGTATACGTATGTATAGTACTCATCACAATCCCATTTTTATTATAACAATGCTCTCTTCTTAATTAGTTGTTCTGAAAACACAGAAACAAACATAAGGAAATTAGGTACACAAGTTCCATAGCTGCAGTTCAGAGTGACTTTCATGTGGGTTCAGCACTGCTTTGGTTTTGTTTATGTTTAAAACTGAGATGGGGCTTTTTCTAATTGTTTTCCTGTGCTTATAAAAAAATGTTCCCTAATTACTGTGACCCAGCAGTTGTATTCATGTCTGCTGCTGTTCCTGCTCACAGTAATCACCTTCAATTAAATGACAGAAGGACATTTTATATGTGTTATAAACACTCTCTGTGCTTGAAGACCTCTGCTTGGGTTGCAAAGCAATGTGCAAGCACAAGATCTGCCAGAGCAAAAGGTTTCTGCAGTTTATCTCAGAAAACATGCTGCAAACACTGGATTAATCTTCCACAGAGAAAATCTCTCTGACTTTTGGCACACAAGTTATGTGCACTTGGAAGGAAACTGAGCAGCATTTTACCCGGTCCAGACTTGTCCTTTGCTCTCCCTCTTATTCTCCTTGCTGTCTGTTTCGGATGGTCCCAGCCATTAGGAACAAAACCCTGCAAAGCATGTGCTTGTCCTGACAAGCCTCCTGAGATCTGTAACTCCACAAAAGCCAGGAGGAATCACCATGAGAGCAATAACAGCCATAGTCAGGGAGCAGCAGGAGCAGGCTGGCCAAGCACAGCCATGCTCACAGCACAGCTGGGATGGGGACCACAGCCCTGAGCTGAAGTGCAGCTCCACAGCAAAGATTTTGTACAGCTCCTTTTCACGTAGCTGATTTTCAGAGTTTTTTTAAAATTATTTTTTCCCCACACACTCAATGGAGTCAAATTTCTACATCCCTTTTGGAACTGGAAAAGTCTGAGCCGAACTCCAGGTAAAATTTCAGCTTGATGCAGTGATGCTTACCTGAATTATGACACATTTACAAAATCAGGAAGTATTTTAACATCCCTAATAATGACCAGCCCTTGCCTGTAAAACAGGCTTATCTCTTTTAGGGTTTGCCTTCCTGACAAGATGAAAACAAGCCAGGTATCAGATAAACTCTCTGCAGCAAGTTGCCTCAGTTGTAAGCTTGTTTGGTAAAGAAGCCACTTATGCTGCATTCAGACCTGAGGGACTTAAGAGCCTTTGTGTTATAAACACACACAGTACATAGTCATTTAAAAGTAAAGAAAAATTATCAAATCTCATCCAGAGTACAGAGTGAGCTTGATTCTGGTAGGTGCTTACCCTAATCAGAATTCTGCAAAGCAGTCCAGCTTTTGTTTTAAACTATTAGATGCCCTAATGACTTGAATAAAATCACTCCTTTAATGAGCTCTACAGTACTGGTCTTATAGCATACATAGCACCTTGCAAGTCAAGACTATAATCCTTTAGTTTGCTTAATGAATGTTGCTGATGTAGAACAATATAATTCCTAATTATACAACTACTTCACTCATGCATTGGAAGATGGGAATAACCTTTTCTTTGATTCTATATGCAGATAGACCTATTACCTTTGAGGCATCTGCTGCAGAGCTGAGTTAGGAGCAGAGTAAATGCCATTTCTTTCCATCTTTTTCCAATCACAGAAGCTAATGCCTATAAAAATGTAAAAGGTTGAATGTGACTGTCTTTTTATGGGAATGGTGAATTAGTGGCATGGTGATTACACATTGCCATGCTTTAGGAGAAGAGGGCACACAAGGATGACTCAGTTTTACAGAAATGTTGTTACACATATCTGTGACAGTATTCCCAGCTTCTGCTACTCTCTGGTGGGATGGATGCATGCTTCAGCTTCTTCATTATAACTATTTTTAGATGTTTTCTATATTATAATTTTGTATTTGCGTCATTTTTTATTTTTGCCATAAAACAGAAAAGTTTCAGCTTACACAACTCTTCCTGCGTTTTACTCTTAATGCAAAGAACCTCTCACTTTTGATGCAAGTATATTTAAATTTCACTTAGCATTTTTCATATTTTTCCTGAGTTATTTTAACAAAACCGGCAAACAACTACAGCAGAGCAAATAATGTAAACAACAAAGCCCACCTTAGATTTTTTGCATGCTGTTTTTTTCTTGTTTCAGACAGAATGATAATGCTACCAAATTTTTAATTATTTTGTTTTGCCTCTACAACTTGTAGATATATGTAATGTTCCATGACACTCCCAAGAGAAAGTGTTTCCATGTTTTCCTAAGCTTACAAAGATTTTTGAAATGGTTTGAAATCAATTTTTAAGATCTATGATCACATTGTACAATTGGATTATAAAAGAAGACAGTAAATGTTGCTCCATAAACAAATGAAAGTGGGTGCTTCTTCACATTGGCTACATGATTTACATCATTCTGGTTCAGTCATTTAACAAGCTTATTGTGTTTTTGAAGGCACTCTTACATTTCAAAGCATGTGGAGTATTTATTTGGCAGCTTTTATTCAAGTGAGCCTGAAGCACTCTATTGTCAAAATGTAACAGATGCAGTAAAGTCAGGATGGTTTAACTTCTGCGATATTTCTCCTAAACGTGATTGTTGTTCAGATTTAGACTGTGTGTTCTTCTAGTTTTTCAATAATACCACTATCTTTTTTTAGGATTCTTATATCAGACCTACAGCAAGCAATAGAAAACCAAACTGCAGGGAGGTCCCATAGGAGTCGAAGGTCCCTCCCTGGGTATAACTATGAAGTGTACCACTCCCTGGAAGAGGTGAATTAAAATTCATATTGTGCCTCTTATCTACTGCAATGTTGTGTTTAGTAAGGCTAAGGTTTCATTCTCCCTGCAAGTTCTGGTTACCTGTCCATCTTCAGGAATGTTCTAAGTGTTTCTTCTTCAAAAATAGGCACTTCCTTAAAAAAAAAAATCTATTTGATATTTGTATTCAAGGTTTATCTTTACATGTAACTGTCTTTCAGAGCATCTGAGTTTTGCTTTTAAAGTAGGTCTTTTACTCTGGTTGAATAAGAGATTTCACTCAGTGATTGGTCACACTAAGTAATTTAATTAAGCAATACAAGTAAATATTAAAGTATTTGCACAGGAGGTACAAATACGTAAAAACACTTAGATACGAACTCATTTATGAAGAATACTATCCTAGATGATAGCTGGGTGAATAATTCCTGTTGATTTTAGTGTGCTCACCCACACAGTTTCAGTCTGCACCTAAACAAAGTCACTAGGCTGAGCATGGAGAGTGCTGCACCACAGGATCTGGTGCCCACTAAACAAATACTGCAGGTAGCCCTGAGTCCTGCATGGAAATCTTTTTGTCATTGTGTTCTGGCAGGAAGAAACATGGACCTTCTTTCTTCATGCCATTAATATTTAGTGGCAATGGTGGATTAGCCACATCCCTATATTTTTGATGAAGAGCTTATGTATTCCAGTAATACCCAACAATGAAATGGAAAAAAAAATCCCATGTGAAGGCTGCATCCAGCCTCTGGCTATAGAGCTATGAGTACCAAATAAAAGCATGGTTAAAGTGTGAAAACAAAAACAAACAAGACAAAAATAAAAACTACAGGAAAATCAAAAAATAGAGAGAGGACAGAAAGCTTAGCCAAATAAATGTATTGCAGTTTCTTCCCATGAAATGTAAAGATTGAAGCGATGATTTTATTTTTGTGTTTGCAGATCGAGGACTGGATGCATTATCTGAATAGGACTTATTCAGATCTTGTTCACATGTTCTCTGTTGGAAAATCCTATGAAGGGAGACCACTGTATGTACTCAAGGTAAAGATTAAATAGTCATTAATGAGACTAAAATCTGGAATCAGAGACAGACACTTTATGTTACAGCATGTACACCAGAGACACAGCTTAATAGTGCTTCCTAAGGATAAGCTGCTAAAATCTAAGCATCTCTCTGAATGTCATCTTTAATGAAAAATGGGAAAAAAACTGGAAAATTAATAGCCAAATCCTATTTACCTGGATTGGATATGAATGGAGAAAGATAACAGAACAAGTTCAATTACCAGGATTTGGATTTAAGTGGATTGCAAAGCTTTTTGTTTATAGACAACTAGGAGAGCAGTTATGCTGGAGAGGGATCCCAGAGGACTGTGGAGCCCTTCTCAGCATGTGACACAAATTCTGCTTCTTTACCTACTGACAAAATTTCAGGGCTTTGTGCTCTCAACTTACATTATTAGGACCACAAATTAGAGTGTGTCAGCAAGATGCAAAAAATCTTACTTTCAATGTATTTTCTTTTCGCCTCCTATTGAAGAGTTCTGAAAATTTGATTCACTATCATGCAATTCATGTAGTGTCCTTGCTCCTCACCCTACTCCATGTAATAATCATTCCTCATAAAAGAAGAAGTTACAAATCTCACTTCTGCTGCAATTTTTTCCTATAAGTCAGCCTCATTATCGTGGCACACCTACCTAACATTATCTTGGCCATACCTTTTAAAACAGTAAATTTGTGTTCCTTTATATGAGGAAATTCAAAATGGTTTAGCCTCTCTCCTATTATTTTGTCATTATTGTGTTTTCACTCATGTGATGCAATCTATTGGTATTTTGTGAATATTCACACTTCAAGTTAGGTAAAAGATCACGGCCCTACAAGAAAGCTGTCTGGATAGACTGTGGGATTCATGCAAGAGAGTGGATTGGCCCAGCCTTTTGCCAGTGGTTTGTGAAAGAAGTAAGTGTTTAAAATTTACAGTCATACAGTTCTTTCTGTTAAGTAAACTTTGCATTTTTGCTGTACCAGATCTAACACATTACTAATATGGAAAGTAACTAGCTATTATACCTCTCTTTTGAAAAATTATTTGTGGAATACTTAAGTGCTTAATAAACAAAGCTGTTAGTGACAGCCAGACACAGCTAGACACAGGACAAAAATATGCCAGACACATACTGGCAGAGATATGAAGTAGGATTTTATTCCAAGACCTAAAAGTGTGAAGGTTTTCAGTAATTTTGGTAATTGCCCAGGTAAATCAGTGCCAGTGTGTATACTGCTTCAGATCAGTTCAGCAGTATCTTTGTTTTAAGGACTTAGTTTAAAAGAGACATTTCTCTTTTGTGTAATTCCATAGGAATAGAAGGCTAAAGTCACAGAATCATGAATTAGAATCACAGAATTCTTTAGGTTTGAAAACACCATAAAGATCATCATGTCCAATTGTTAACCTAACACTGCCAAGTCCACCACTGAGCTGTCACCCCAAGTGCCACATCTACACATCTTTTAAATACCCCCAGGAATGGTGACAAGCATTTCACTGGACAGCCTGTTCCAGTATTTGACAATGCTGTCAGTGAAGAAATTTTTCCCAGTATCCAAGCCTCCCCTGGCTCAACTTTGGGCCGTTTTCTCTTGTCCTATCACTTGTTACTTGAGATGAGAGGCTGGCTCCCACCTGGCTGCAGCCTCCTCTCAGGTAGTTGTAGAGAGCAATAAGGACCCTCCTGAGCCTTCTTTTCTCTAAAGACCCTCAGATCCCTCAGCTGCTCCTGGTCACATTTGTTCTCCAGACCCTCACCAGCTTCAGTTCCCTTCTCTGGACTCACTCCAGAACCTCAATGCCTCTTTTGTAGCGAGGGGCCCAGAACTGAACACAGGATTCAAGGTGCAGCCTCACCAGTGCTGAGTACAGAGGGACAATCACTGCCCTGGTCCTGCTGGCCACACTATTGCTGATACAGGCCAGGTGTCACTGGCCTTCTTGGCCCCCTGGGCTCACACTGGCTCATGTTCAGCTGCTGTCAAACAGCACCCCCAGCTCTTTTTCCAATGGGCACCTTTCCAACCACTCTTCCCTCAGCTGGTAGCACTGCATGGGGTCTTTGTGACTCAAGAGCAGGATCTGGCACTTGGCCTTTCTGAATAGTCGGTCTCAACCTGTCAAGAGTTCATCTACCATGATCCCATGATGGCAACTGTCATCGTTTTTCTGCTGTGCAATGGCTTCCAGCTCCTGCTTGTTGCCCATCCTCTGTGTATTGGGATAGATGTGCTCCAGTTGGGCTACTGATCCGAATGCCTTCTGCAGGGAAGAAGCCCTAATTCCTACATGACCAGTTTTAGGCACTTCTGTGGTTTCTAACACATCAATACCCTTCTGTCTTTGCTGTCACATGGATCTCCATCCCCAGCCTCCACTGTGATGGCAGACTGAAGGACCTGTCTAGAACAACATCCCTCAAACATCCATATGGTGCCCCCAGGCTTATCAAGCCTGGTTTTAACCTCTTCCACCTTCAAATCCAGTTTAAAGCTCTTTCAATAATACCTCTTAACTTATGATCAAAGAGCGTTTTCCCCCTTTGAGATGGGTACACACTGGGAAGCCTGCTGTTGTGTAAACCAACCCATGGTCAAAACCCCCAAAATTCTGCCAGTGGCATCAGTCTTGGAGCCAGGGATTGATCTGCTGGCTGTTCTTCTTCATAGATGGATTTTATCTGAAATTATGAATTTTGTATTATCTGAAAAGCAAGTGATCCAGTGTTTCTTTGATTCTATCTTATTGGGTTTAATTCTCCCTTTATTTTTGATGTCTAGTGTTTAGTCTCCATACTTATCCATTTGCAGTTTTCAAATGAGAGGTGAAATCAAATGGAATTGGAATTTTGCTTCCAAATTGTCTGTTTCTGTTTTGGTTCTGGTTTGTGGGTTTTTTGTGGGGTTTTTTGTTTTGTTTTCATTTGTTTGGTTTTGGGTTTTTGGGGTTTTTTTTAATATCAGCACTTAAACTCTTCTGATTTGGGATTCATTACAGATGCATTATACATACAGATGCATCATATTACAGGGTTTTGCCATTTCCCTTAGCCAACAAACTTTTGTTCAAGATGAGACATTAGCTGCACAATGGAGACTACCTTGCAATGTAAGTGGCAGAAGTCAAAAGTGGCTTAAAAATATCCCCACAGGTGTGCTTTGAGTACTTTGCATGCCATGTTTTTGCACAAAATAAGGGTTGCAATACACTTTTACAAGCTTCTTCCTATAAACACACAGTTTTCTCATTTTTATTCCCACCCATCTCAGTGTAATTCTACAATGTATTAATACCTCCTCTGATTTTGTGAGAGTAAACTTCTGCATCATCAACACCCTAATGCTGAGATGGTCATATAAGCATGTGTGGCCTTCCCTTGGGAATCCCAACAGTGCATAGGAAAGGTACAGAAATAATGAGGCCACTACAGTTTGGATAAGCCTGTTACCAAAAATAGGCTAAATGGCATTTAGGAGCTGTTCTCTAAATTTTGGTGTGCAGCAATTGTGTGTCATCTTGTTAAGACTTCTGTTAATGTGAAGATGAACTAGCTTGCAATTTCTGAGCAGCTTTCCCACCCAGGAGAACATGCTGCAGTAAGGATGGAAGTGGGACAGAAAGGCACTGGTGGGGAGCCTATTGTTCAAATTCCTCTTTCTTCCCAAAGCTTCCCCATAAAGCAGTACAATGTGGCAGTAGGGTAAAAAATCACAAGACTTCTCTGCAAACCTTATAGCACAATATAGGCTATGGGTGTGTATATAAAAACCTTCTGGCTGTTTTGTGAGATCTTCAGAGAGTAGCTTGTAAGGCTGCTTCTCTAATTATTTAAAAACATTTTGCTGGATTAAAAGTAGTCTCCACAGAGCTCCTTCAGACTACAAGAATGTACCACCTTTGTCTGCCCGTCCCTTTTTAGAGCAGTATTTCAATCCAACATTAGAGCAAAAAGCATCAGGAAGAGAATACATTATGCTCATAATGTATTAAAAACAACTGGCTAAGGAGGAGAGAGGAGATGATTAGATTGCTTGGTTTAGGATATTACTTTTCTCATTGTATGAATTAGAAATTTTTAGTAAGAACTCTGGGAAAACTGAAGGTCTTTCTGTGCTTCAAACTCTGCAATTCTCTTTTGCTGGCAAACTCTTCCCTTAAGCACCTCCGCAGCCTGGCAGCTCAGTTTTCCATCCTCCCTGGTACTTACGGGCAGTTCTGAGAAAGGGCTCTCAGCTTGGTAACAGATTTTTCCTGGCATGTTTGTTCACTCTAAGGAATAGCACCACGAGTCCATTGATTTAAGGCAAGCAAGAAGTAGTGCTGGATTTACATGATGTTGGCTTCTTTTCTAATAGGAACAGCATACATGCATTCCTTTACTATGCAGGCAGCCTGTAATGTCTTAGCAAGCTTTCACTTCACCCTGTGATCTCTGACACTTATTTTTATTGAATATATCCATGTTCCTGTGTACAAAAAGGCTTTTCAGGCAATTTAGCTTAGGAAGAAAACTCTCTATGCACGAATGTCACTTAACATTCAGGCCTCAGACTGGGTGCCTCAAATGTAACCAAATACTCCAATTCAATTTGGGAACCCTCAGTATCTGGTTTGCGCCTCTAGAAGTGGCAGTTTCTGGGTGACAGTGGATTTGCTGCAGGCAACAGGAGAGAACCTCCAAAGGGTGCTGAGCAGCTGCTCATGTGTTTTTCCTGGGCATGGCAGCAGCTCCCTGCTGCCTACAGAGAATCTGGAATTGTTCAGCTAAACTGGACCTGGCTCCCACCTACTTAGAAATGCAAAACAGACTAAAGCAGATCAGACTTGGGAAGTGAGGAGGTAAGGCTGGAGCATGGGAAGGCAAGAGGCTGCCTGCTGTGCAGGCTTGTTCTGTATTTGGGCAATTACAATAATTAGGAAAAAAGAAAATAATAACTAGAGAAAAATTTATAGAGAAGTTACATATTTAAAAGAGAAAAAGAATGCACAGGATATTATGTGATAATATATTTCAAAGTACAAAAGCAACCTACTCACATTTTGAAACAAACTAAAGGACAGCAAAGACAATTGTTTGGGGAGTTGTGGGTTTTGTTTAGTTTTCTGTGTGTTGTTTTGGGTTTTTTTTCCTTATAATCTACTCCAGAATGAGCTCTAGCTTGGCTCTGTGTTCCATAGGCCTGATGTTAATAACAACATCACTGTTTGTTTCTGTGGAAGGCGCCCCTAAAAGTCTGTAGTGTCTCAGCTAAAAATAATCAGATGTTCTGTCAGGATTAGCTGTACTGCTGGCCTCTGGCAAACCTCACCTCATTGTCATTGAACTTCAAGTCAAGAAAGGGGACACCCTGCACACAGGACCAGAATTTTAGGTACCTTCTAATGAGCCACAGAGGAGTGGCTGCCCCTGTACTGTAGTGAAGTACCAGTCAGGTCACAGTAGAATTCCACCCAATTCATGCCTTACTCAGCTGGAAAGTGATGGAGCAGGGGCTCTGAAAGTGGAAACATGGCAAGACCTGTGGTGGAGTAGGGAAGCAAGACAAACTGTAAAAGGAAACAGAACTGATTACATGTGGGCTACTTTGAAGGCAACCCGCAAAGATAAATGAACCCAGAACTTGTGTCCACAGCAAGAGATTCAGGGGGAAAAAAAAAAAAAAAAGAAAGGTTTGTTAGCCTAGAATTTTAAAAAGAGTACATGGGATCTAATACATGAATATGTGTTGGTAAATATTATTAACTGAAAGATACTCTAATATATCTAACTACTTTGTAGAAAGCAGTAGACTTTAGAAACAAAATTCAGATATATCATGTATTTTTCCAAAATTAAATAGCCCTCACAGAAACAAAGACATAATAGCTATAGCTATTTTGCAAAAATACAGTTATATATGTACATATGTTA